CCTGCCATTCTATATGATCTCCCTCCCATCTCGGAAGTTTTTTCGACTATTGTATTTGTACTAAATTACTACTGAATGTTTGATGTAACTAAAAAATGACATGTTGTTTAAATCTGAGGGGGCTCACTGAGGGGGCTCAGCCCCCGCCAGCCCCCCTGTGGCGCCGCCACTAGTTCTGGTTTTGGAAATGTCTCAAAGACTGGTTTTCCATCAGATCTTTGGAAAATCTTGTAGGTTTTGCTGAAAACAGAGTAGGAATGTATTTTAGATAGACAAATAGTCCAAAGTGTTGTCTGGGAAATGAGAACCAAGCGACCTTTTGGTTTTGCTTGGTTTTTCAGATGACGCAATTTTTCCCGAACCACTTGGATTGGACTTTCTGCCTCTTATAAACTGAAAAATACATAAGACATAGATAATCGGTCCTTCTGATTAACGTGGCAACATTTATTTTCGGATAAAAGTTGATATAACTTTGACTGCGCAGTTGAAAAAACCGTGCGTTTTTGTCCCTTTTCTAACCGAAGTTATGAAAAAAAGAACCAAGTACTTTCCAATTTGAATCCGAAAGTAGTTCAGATCACCATTCACGAGGTACATGTTTCCAAAGAGATGGATTCATAGAATAAACTGTTCGAAAATGGCTGGCATAGAAAACATGGCTGAAATACAGAAATAAAAAATTTAGGGTCGACCCTAAATTTCAAAATCAAACTAACCAATATGGTGACCCCATATTGACTGCGGAGTTGGGAAAACCGCAAGGCTTTCTCTCTTGTCTAACCAAAGATATTAAAATAACAACCAACTATGTTGCATTTTGAAACCGCAAGTACTTCACATCACCATCCAGATCAGGCAACGATCGTGACTCACTCTCACACAAATCGAAGTGGATGTACATGTTTCCAAAGATAAGAAGATAAAAAATTTTTTTCTGAGCAAGTGGACCATTTCAGCACCTTAGGTGTTTATTATAAATTTTTCAAAAAATACAAAAAAAACCGATGCATTCCTAGTTTAGGCAACGTGCATTATTCTCTCTCTCTCACCATATTATGATTTATTTTTTCTCTCTCAGTATCGCTAATAGTGCCTCTTATATAAGCGAAATTTTCTTCTTTGCTTGTTTACTGTTTCCTGACTATGTAACATCGTTAGTCAACGCGACAAAAGTACAAAAGCCCAGAGGTCATAACAGCTATAACACACTGTCTTCTACAAAATCAGATTCAACCAACCTTTTAGTTTTGCTTGGTTTTTCAAGGGACACGGATTTTCTTCAACCACTAGGATTGCACTTTCTTCTGGGGTGACAATCTCAAAAACACAGAATATATAGATAATCGGTGCACCCGGCTAACGTGACAACGTTTATTTTCCAATAAAAGGTAAAATAACATTGACTCCTGAGTAAGAAAACCGCAAGTTTTTCTCCCTTGTCTAACCAAAGTTATTAAAATAACGACTAGTTATGTTACATTTTGAAACCGCAAGTGATTCACAAGTGGTGAATTATCAGTAGGAGGGGTCCGCGAGACATTAAATGCATCCCGTTTTACTCTGCTGCTGTCTAAGCTATGAGAGCACTGACATATGTTATCTCCTTTTCTTTTACTCTCTTTAGACCTGAAGTAAGGCAGTAAAAGGAGCTGAAAGGAGTAAAGGGAGTTAAAAAGAACTATAAATCGAATAGTGATAGGACAACTGTTCAGATGTTTTATTAAATTTATACTTCCTATTCTTACTATTGTATAACTTAAGATGTGTAAGCAAAGAAAAGATAGAAAACGGGATAAATTTAATTTCTCGTGGACCTATGATCATTAAACTGAAATTTCACATCATCCATACACTATATGTTGTTCTCCATGTAACATACAACGTCACATAAGAATTAGGTTTAAATCTCATAGAAATCTATTGAAAAAGTCAATTTTCTAAATTAAATTCATTTCAGTTGATTATCATCGAGAAAATTTGATTTCAATCAATTAAACGATTAATTCATTTTTGATTTTAGAAGAACATTATCGAAATTCATCTTAACTTAAAACTACTAACAATAAAACTTTTACATACACTATCGTGTTAACCATTTGAACAGATGATCCAGATTTGACTAAATCCACAACAGATTTCTGAGGATCATAGCAAATTAGTTATGAAACAATAATATTTGATCTTCTATTGATATTGAGTTTCTGTTCTCAATGATTTCCATTCAAAGATGAAATGATCTGATCTTTTTATTTCTATGTTTGAATTCATCACTCTTCTACACAAAACTCTGACCAATTCGTCAATTCATATCTTATATCATCACAGATCGGATAAATCTGACCTTATTATCTAAGAGAAGCGAACTGTCTATCAGATGTTGTTTACAAGATAGAATGCAACAAAGAGTCAATAGAGATTTATAATCGCCTAGTTTTCATAGGATCCAGCAATAATTTTTAAAGTTTATCAAACATCGAAGAAATTACTTAAGACTCTTTTAATTATTCACTCAACTATCGTGTCGTATGAATGAAGTTAGAATGATCGATCTGTTTTCTGATGATGATGTATCTGAAATCAAAATCGAACCATTCTCATTTTCTTGGTATCGTTTAATCAACAAAAAGAATTCAATTGAAAATATTCATGTTTCAGTCTCCAATCATTTCTGAGATGAAAGACGAAATCGAACATGAGTTTGATCGACAAATCTCCGAATGGTTTCTCTATCAATCACTTGTTATCATAGAACTAAATTTTATTTCACAGTAACATTGAAATTGAATTTTCTACAGTCAGACTTTCACTTTATCAGAAACGATCAAAATGCAAGATGAGAAATGGCTGAGCTAATGAACTAAAAATAAATAAACCCAACAAGAATATTTTATACACTTTCAAATCTCTCACGTCACTAGAAAATAAAAGTTTTTTTTTCTTCTAACTATTGAAAATCGAGACTGAAATAAGGCATGCTAATTCCATGTTCAACTAAGATTTTGTTTTTCTTATGTATTATAATCATTCGACGCTAAATTTGACGCCAATGACAAATATGTAATGTTTAATTTTTAAAAATTTTCATCCTCTCGAACAATGTCAATAAGTCGAATGATCTCAATATCCGAAAAATTAAAACATTTTTCGATTTTAGGTTTATCTTCTACATTCGATAAGCAATTTTTTTCCGAATTAACAGTGAAAATTAAATATGAGAATGATATTTAATTGATTTTGGAGTTAAAGGTTTGCTTATTAATTTTTGGCCAAAATTGCTATTTTTTGACAGGGGGCAAAGCAATATTTTATTTCTTGCTCTTTTAGCCTATATGATTCTCAAAATTTTCTGACCAAAAGCCAAAGACTTGGTTTTCTAGCGGTCAGGTTTTCCCCAAAACCCTATTATCAACTTTTCTCATAAAACGACGATATGCACCTCATCTGATAGAAGAATCTTCGGGCTATCCAAAACAGTATTCAGTTTGGTTCCAGCTTTTACTGAAAAATAACAACGACAAAGGCGTTCTTATGATTATGTTACACTGTACTGCATAAATAACATCCAAACGCTAATGACTGGTCCCATCTGTTTGAATATTCTGACCAGCTCACTTTGTAGAGAATTTCAAGGGCTACCCAATGGTATGATTTTGATATTTCCGAATGAATAAATAAAGTGTTACAGAATTCAACGAAATAGTAAAATCAATAATCATATCCTCTGCCTTGCATCGAAATCGTCTTTTTTTCCCGCAAAATTTGTCCACACGTGTGAGTCCAGTCAAAATTTTTCCATTAACAGTAAAAGAGTTATACTAAAAACAAACTCTCAATTTAATTTTCGCCAACTGGGCACATTCATTGAAATCGTCTATTTTTCCCCCTACAGACTGGGGGAATAACCTAGAAGTCGCCTCTTCAGACGCATTTGAAGCTTTTACATCTTGAAAAACACATCATCTTTTTCTTGTGTGTGTGTCAAAAGATACTGGGCTTCAAATTTCGTCGTCAAATATTTTCTTTCACCAGTTATGGTAAAAGATAATTATGAATAATTAAATAATCATTAACCATAGTGTGAACATATTGATCTAGTGTCTGACCCCAATTCGCCATTCCACCTTGAAATGTAATTTTAAACAGTGTATTCTGAGTGATATGAAATGTTTCGGTCATATTCGGTAAATAAATGAAGTTATCAATTGAAGCAAAAATAAAATCCTGCTCAACCTCTTGAAGTTTATAAAAGATTTTATATAAAGATAATATATGTCCATTTGGTGACGGAATAATTTGGACGAATGCTGGTGATGTTGGAGTTATAAAATCTGTTTCAGAAAAACACAACGCCATATTAACCATACCCAGTTGGCGAAAAATAAACCGAGAATTTTGTTTTTCATGTAGCTTTTTTACTGTTAATGCTAGAGAGCCAGCTCAAACGTTATTCGAAAGATCCGATATTTTTGTACATCACTATATAAAAATGATTAATAAAGAAGACTGCTCGAGTTTTATTAAAAATACTTTTTTGTAGACTTAAAGTGCAGGTTTTAGTTTTAGACTCATCAAAAACGATATTACAAGACTGGAAATCTAACCCTATTATTGTATCGGTCGTAGTTGTAGGCTTCAAAATACAAAGGATTAATCATCTGATAGTGATGTGATTTACACTGTAAAGACTCACTGATCGGAGTTAATATGTTAGTAAAATAAAACTCTCCTTACCATTCGATAACTGTGATCAAGATTGAAAACTGAATTTGCTAAAGAGTCTTTGCACTCTCTTCTATTAAGACTTTCGATTTTCGCATTAAATATGCCACAATATATAGTTAAGTACCCTCTACAAAATGAGACGACACTCTGCTCTCTTTAACCCTTCCTTCCGGAGTTATGCATTTTTTAAGATTGTCCCCTAGAGGGTCTAATTTGTCAGTATTCACTTTGCAAAATTTGTCCACACGTTTGAGATCAGTCAAAATTTTTTCATTAACAGTAAAAGAGTTATACTAAAAACAAAACTCTCAATTTAATTTTCGCCAACTGGGTACATTTAGCAATAAGAGCATTAAACTTCCCAGCAGAAAATACTATTAATGTTATTCTACTAACGGTGTAACAACGATTGATTAGAAATACATTGTTCACAGCTTATAGTAAAATAAACAAATGATGGCATTATCGCCAGAGAAACCTATTTAGTTATATATGAAAGTCAGTAACATATTTCTTCTTTAAGGATAACCCTCCTCTATTTTCGGGCTTTCCGCAGAAATGCTGTGAAATAAAAACCAAAAACCACTATAGCTTCATATTTTCAGAACTGGCTGGTTGGAAACTCAATAGTACATTTTTTCGTTTTTGTTTCAAGTTCTTAATTATTACCGTTCACGATTTTCCCAGAAAACTCGATTTTTCATTGTCATATTAAATTCCATCCATTAGAGTTAGCGTCTGCCACGTGAAAGAATTTTCATTCCTGGTAAAGGATATAGGGCTGGGGCTGCACAGTGGACATTTAGGCGGCATTTTCTGAAAAAATCGTAGGTACGAAATTTTCTGTTTTGAATAGCGGTATATATAGTGTAAACAATGTCCTATTTAACAGTGAAAACATTTTTGTTCTAGCTGCTTCCAAAGTGGAGAAAACCAAGTTGCAAAATTACTAGCGGAATAGGCGTGTTGGTATTTAAAATTGCATTTTCTCCATCAAATTTGAATTTTTTTTGAAAAACAAACACTGATATGGAATCGTCA